GAAGGGAATTAACTTCCAGTGAGTACCACGATGTGGAAATCAACCACAGGATCTCGTGAGGGCGGGCTGCTTTCGGAAAGTTCCAACCCGAATTGTGTAATCGGCATTATCTCTTACATTCCAGATTGAGGCTATTCGACGCTGTCGTGTCTTCTACGGTGCTGTATGGGAGCGGCGCCTGGGCGCTCACTGCAGCGCGAGAGCACAAGCTCAACGCAACAACGTGGAAGATGCTTCGGGCAATTGTGGGCGCTGGGCGACTGGAACATGAATCATATGTTGATTGGATTGTGAGAGCTACTCAACGGGCAGAGGAGGCATACTCGAAATCCGGATTGCCTACGTGGCTGCACTCGCAGAGCGAGAGAAAAGCCAATTTATATCGTAAGCTACAGTCATGCAGTGACCACAAATGGGGGCAGGTTGCGTTGCGATGGGCCCCTTCCGGTTGCAGATCTACTGGAAGGCCGTTGAAACGATGGACTGACTGGATCTTGTCTGCTATTTCTTGTCTGGCGCGTGCGAGAATCATCAAGAAGCCTGGGCGTGGGAACTTTCAAGAATGGGGCGTGAGAGAATCATCGAGAAAGTGGGGACCGCGCGCGCAGCAGCCCGCGCAGGGCGCGCTCCGGCGCATGCTGCCTCTGACCTGACCTGACCTGACCTGAGTGCGATCTGGGCAATTCTCCGGCGCCGTCACTGGTTGGCCTTTTTGCGGGTGCCTGTTGGGTTTTAGGGTGTGGGAGATGTTGGGGGTCTCCAGTGCCTCCATGGACCTCGAAGCAGCCGTCGCGGCCAGGGCCTCGGGAGGCCTCCGCAGAACACAGGCGGCGCATCCTCGCTCTTTTCAACGCCTGGGCTTTGCATACCCTCAGCGGCCTGGGGCGGAGGCAGTGCATCCGGCGAAGGCACCTCTGCGCCGCCACCATGCCAGGCCTTGGCCTGGTACGGCGGTGGTGTGCAGGTGCCTCCTGCGCGAGTGCAGCACCCGTGCCTTGTGTGCTTGTGTGCACCTGCTGCGCGTGCGCGTCGCAGCTGCGCACCCCCTGCAGCGCGGTGCAGTACAGTGCAGTGCAGTGCAGTGCAGTGCAGACCCCGGAGCGACGCGCGCAGCGCGCAGCTCCTGCCCGTGCACAGCGCGCCGCCATCCCTCGAGGCGTCTGCTCCGCCGCGCAGCGCCTGCGCCTGCGCGGCGCTGCCCGGGGGCCGCGGGGGGCGAGGGCGGGGCTTGTGCGGTGTGCGAGCAGCGCCGTGTGCGTGCCGCCGGCGTGCACGGGTCTGCCTGGAGCGGCGCGCGGAGCGCGCGCTGTCGGGCCCGCTTCGGGAGGGATCCCGCGGGCATGTCCGCACGGGCCTCCCGAGAGTTCCTGGGAGCGTCCCCCGGAAGCCTCCAGGTTTCCAAGGGGCCTCAGGGGGCTTCCCCGGAGCCTCGTCTAGGAGAGGAGTGGGAGGGAGGGGTGGAGGAGCGTAGGATGAGGAGGAGGGGGAGGAGGACAAGCTAGGTGCGCTCGCGTCATATCTGACGTCCTACCCCTCCCTCCCATCCCTTACCATGGCGCTGATTTTCTTTATCCGCGGACGCGTGTCGTAGCGGACCTGTGGCTCCGCGCGCGCGTGCGTAGTGGGTGGTGGTGCACGTGCGTGCGTGCGTGCGTGTGTGCGTGTGTGTGCGTGGTGGTGGTGGTGGTGGTGGTGGTGGTGGTAGTGGTGGTGGTGGTGGGTGGTGATGGTGGTGGTGGTGCTGGTGGTGGTGGTGGTGGTGCTGGTGTGGTGTGTGGGTGGTGGTGTGGTGGTGGTGGTGGTGGTGGGTGGTGGTGGCGGTGCGGCGCGGTGGTGGCGGGCGGATGGGCGCGCGAGAAAAAGGCCCGCGCTGGGGCGAGAACGCCATCCTGAACGACGGAGGCCAAACACCGATCCGAAAATGAGGCCCACGCTGCAGCGGGAGCACGATTCGGAACGATTCGGGAGCAGAAATGAGGCCGGCGCTTCAACGAGAGCAGCATTTTGGGAACAAATGACGCCGGCGCCTCAGCGAGAGTCGTTTCCCGGGATTTCCCGGGAATCCTGTGTGTAAAAAACAGTACGCGGAGAGTGCGCGGCCATCACCCGGACGCCATCAGGGGAAGAGGGAGAGTATTTTCATATTGAGTAATTGTTGAAGGAGGATACCGTCTGTATCGGTGTATGAGCACGTTTGCTTGTTTCTTCGTTTGTTTCTTTGTCTGTCTTCCTGCCCGCCTGCCTGCCTGTTTGTCTGTCTGTCTGCCTGCCTCTCTGGCTCAGGTCCGACCTGACCTCCTGCTCCCACGCTTCCCGAGTGGCAGAGGGCGTGCGCTCAGATCCCATGCGTGATGCTGCCCCTGCGGCGCGGGGTGACATGGCCGTCGACGAGCCGGCGAGTCGGCCTCAGCTCCCAGCGCCTGTCTGGGCAGTGGGTGGCCAGCCGCAGACGGACCCGCCCGGGCCACTCCGGACGTGCGGACTCGCCCTCGGCGCCGGG